CAATAAAGTGGATGATAAAATATGTGGGTGGGACTATACCGTGTTATTTTCTCTCTTGAATATTTTATGAAGCTGGAAGAAGAGATGCTTAAGTTTCTCTGCGTTAAAATCAACTATGACTGCGATCTTTATTGTTTTTAATCTCCCTTTCTTCCTCATCGACCCAATCTATGCACCAGTGTAATCTGAACCTTCAAGATGAATGTAGATATTGTACTAGATAGGAGTTTTGACTGTAAAAATTGAGAGCACAGTTGTTGCACCTGCTACTCATCAAGAACCAGCCATTCCATTGTTACCAGTTGAATTGTGGGATTATTTAAATCAAACACCGCGTAAAACAGAAGGTTTGGTTGTTCATTTCTATGATTTCACTTCAGTGACTGCTCAAGGCTGGTTTTTGTATTTCTGGCAAGATGAGCTGACAAAGAAAATTAGACTTACTGTGTGAGAGGATAAGATAAGATCTCAACATTTGAATAGAAGAAAATAATCTTTTTCATGATGTTGTGTCTTGTAAAATTTGAAGTAGTGCATATTGTCCACTATAGCCGTCAAATGTATCCATCCGATATCATTTTTAGCATTGCACTTGCGATGGAAACTATGTTGCTTTTTGGAAAGAAACTTTTATCACGACACACAAAAAAACAGAGACAATGGTGGTGGTTAACTGATAATGCCCCACCAAATTGCTGACATAAGGATAAATGATAATGACAGGCCGTTTCCTAATTTCTTAGTTAATTAAGCAAGTGGCTTAAAGGTCTTCTATGAGGGTCATATTCTATTGTCATTTATCGTAAATATATATCCGCAAGTTTGCCATAATCAAGCATAAAAACTCCTTCACAGTTTTCAAAGGCGTCTGTCTAGATCAAGTATCAGCAATTTCTGCAGCATAGTTTTCTGTTATTTGCCGACTCTATTGTACATCAAACCTGTAAGTCCTCCAACATCTAGTCCCAAAATTCTGATTCTATCTTGATTTTTGTTTGTTTGAATGGTGCACTGCTCTGACTCTGACCAACTAGTCTAAAATCCGTCCCTTCTGAGAGGTCTCAACTTGCAGTCCTATTGTGGTGACTGTAGTACATAAATATATTCTTCATCATCTCATATTCTTGAAAGCTCAAACTTCTGAATCCAGCAAGAATCTATTGAAATCATGAAGCAAAGGGAAGGTAAAAGTGTAGCTGATGGAAAAAAGTCAAAGAAGATCGCTCCAGCACCTCCACCACCACCACCAACGTCGAGGTTTCTTCTAAGCAGGAAAGTGACAACACCAAGCCAGACCAAACAGGAGATTGCTAAGTATTGGAAGCAGAAGCACAAGACTGAAGAAGAGCACTTCCTCGATGCCATCAAGGCTGCAGCCAGAATCAGGGCGCGCAATCTCTCGGTAAAGTTTTCAAATCAATTTATCACAGTTCTTTTTTATATATAGATGAATCATGTCATGTACATACACTCTGTGAACAACTATAGGAAAATAGTGCATATTAAATTGCATCTTTCCTTATCCTGATCCATGTCCTGCTTGCCATAAATCTTTTGATAAAGCATAGAAAGTGGGAGATATGTCAAAATCACACAATATGACTCTGCAACTTTGAATAGATAATACTTGAGTGTTCCACTTTCTTTGCGTATTGTCCTACTAATAAGATTCCTTAAAAGTCATATATTCAGCCGAAAGGGCCAATAATAATAATTAATTGATGGATAATTACTATACTTCTTTGCCCATAAGCAAAAGCTTATATTGCATTAGTATATATACATGGTCCCAGTAGGCTACTATACAAAGATGATAAAAAAATGTTTTGGATGAAGATCCATTGTTATTTTCTGGCTCAGTATGAATATAATATAAGTTAAAAGAGATTCATAAGTTGCACTTAGTGATGAATATAGCCAATGACTGTGACCTAGCTTTTCGTTCACTCAATTTTTCTTCTATTTGTCCCAATTGATGAGTTTGGAACTTATACTATTAAAGATATAGATTTTGATAGCAGGTTAATTGGCAACTCTGTATCTGCTACTGGAAACTAAAGTATAAATAGAGTTCCATCTCCTGATCGATCGAGGGAAAAACTTATTTTTCTCGGGGATACCTTATGATGCTTGATTGTGAGAAATCATAGACAAAATGAAATAAGATTGTCCTAAATTATAGTAATTGATTTAAATTCCATTATTTCGAATTAACTTGCTTACAAATTGTTGGTTAAGGCGGAGGAATACAAATACTTTGTGTATTCCTTGAAGGTGGATGATGATGACATGGAGAACAAAATGGTACCTAAGAACATCTCCGAAATCAATGAGAACATGAAGGAAAAGAGAGTTGGTATAAAGGACTGGTAAGTGAGACGTAACTATGTACTTATGATAAAAATCTGATTCAGTACTTGATGCTTATCAGCTACTTTGCCCGCTCACATATTTGAGAGTTGCAGGTGGACGAAGAGCAAATATGCATATCTAAACCAGCCTGCACTGAAGTCCATGGAACGCCACGGCTCCACTTATATTCCGCAACCATATTGCTACAAGGCTCCACCTCCACCAGTCACAAGTACTTTTGGGATCTTCTAGGCAATTCATGATGCCGTTCACGCACACAGAGTCATATTTCATGTATGTGTTGTATATTTATCATTGTTTGTTTAAGTGTGTGATACTCAAAAGGAAGTATCATATATATGATCATTGAAATTATTGTATTGGGGTTGTGAACTACTCTGCTGCACCTGTGGTGGAAATTGCTGTTAATAAATAATGGTTCTATTATTGTAGATACTCCATCTATTTCAGCTTTCAATTCATCAAGAACAATTTATTAGAGAACTATTATGATCATCTAGTGTCTATTAGCAAAATCATCATGAGTACCATCAAGAGTTGTGATGGGACGGATAAAATTCAATCATTTTTAATTAGGGATCTCTGAGTTTGAACACGAAGAGTAGAATTTTTTTTGTTGATAAAGAGCGTTTCTCCTCTTACTAGAAAGGACGCATCGCGAATCCGATTTGTCTGGGAATCATGAGAAAATGCCATATATTATCATTTTGCTCATAAGTTAATTAGGAGCTTCTTGTGATGGCGACCAAGGGCGGATCTAGGGTATCGAGTGTGGGAATTCAATAACAAAGTAAGCTCTTGGTCCAACTTCAAATATATAATTTGCTCAAGTTTTGTTGCTCTTCTCAGTGAGGGTTGGATTCCCCTCGGACACTTATATTAAAAGTTTTTCTTTTTAATTTAAATCATTGAGAATTTATAAACTTTAAATCCTAAATTCGTCTATGATATGACCTCTTACCCACTTCTAAATGGGTGTCTATATGCTTTTGGTACGAAATATATTAACATATCTATAATGTATCTATCTGAGTTGAATTACACGGATAAAATATATATAAAAAATTATTTCCATTGATATATAGTTGTTTATTTTAGTCCGTTAGTCAATTATATCTAGCTTGGGGACCTAATCTATATATCGATGAGGAGCCAAAAATTTGTGAATCATACTTTTTCAAACCAGTTAGGCTGATGATGGTAGTTGACTGTAGAAATTTTGCAAAAATAATTACTGCGAGGATAAACATAAAACACACATTATTTTGTTGAACACATAAATAAATAAATTAATTAAAGCACGATATTTCCACTATGTTCAGCCAAGTCTTTCATTGACAATGTAAATTCTATCTGATTTCTTTAATGCAACTTATTCTGATTTAGAGATTGAAATTAAATCTCCTATTGATAATTTGCTCCAACAAATACTCCCTTCATCCTAATTTATGTGTCGCTTTAATTCTTTTCACGTGTTAATTTAAAAAATGATAAATACAAAATATAGTTTAAAAAATAATAAATACAAGATATAATTTAAAATTGAACGAAGGTGGGAGGAAATACTGACTAGAGATAAGACATGTTGAAAGTGCTAGCTACTAGAAATTATTAATAGTGTTTTGAGAGAATCTTTGAAATTAATCAAAATTGTGGAGATGCATGTACAATGATAATTACAAACTAAATGCTGTGAAAGTGTAATGGATATCTACAAAACATAATTACTCGGAGCCAATTGAAGCTCCAATTATATACGAATTGCATACTGCATGGTTCATTCGAGGGTGGCTCCCAACATAATTCTTTTCATACTCAAAGATCAAATTCGAAACGTATGATTAAGGATGAAGTAGTCCTACCACTTTATCAGAACTCATATCTAAAATATTCAGGTTTTAGAAAAGAAAAAAAAGATTATGTTAAAAATAAAAGAAGCAAAATTAGTACTAGCAAACCATGACGTGTTACCCAAATATACCTTCAAAAGAGGGTAAGAAAACATGGAATGTTTGTTTCCCCACTAAGCATGGTTAAGGAAAAAAGTTTTATGCCAATTAGTTAATAGCTAACTAATTGAGTTTCATGAACTAAAAAGTTTTGAAGAAAATGTGGTGCAACTAAATACTAGCATAGTAGGATGTAGCAAATGTAGTGGTCTACCATCTAAAGAAACATTTTTGGAAGAGTTCTGATAAATATGACTTATTTTCATTTGATGATATTATATTAAATAATCAAAATTATAATTAAATGCTTTGAACTGTGAAAATAGTGTCTTGCAAGAATATAGGATAATATTTTATACAATAAATTCTTATAATTTGATTCTTTTTCAAATTTTATGCATATAGTGAAAACTTAGTGAATTAAACTACTTTTTTTATTTACTTATTCTATTATAATTTAATACAAAATTTAAGAAAATATTTTTTCTAAAATCTCATAGATTTTAAACATGTTTCTGAAATGAACAAATATTAAAAATGAATAAATAAGATGAAATGAAGGGAGTAATAATATGAGTAATTTTTTTGTTTTGTTTGGGTGAAGTAAAAAGGTCAACTTTATTGTCACAAAAAATCCAAAGATTAAATTAGGCGTAGTAAGTAATAATGCATCCATCTGTCACACAGATTACAGAAAGTCTGCAAACATAAGTACATTGTTTTAGCGAAAATAAATAAATAATTGTCTTTCATTAGTCAAAATTTTAAAACCCACAGTTTCCTTTTCTTCACCAGAAAACAGCCAGAGCTGTGATCCCAAGTCGCATTAGCTGATCAAAGTTCTTGATTAGATCTTCAAAAATTCAAGAATTTGCAGATTTCATTGTGGGGTTTTCTTAATTTGAGTAACAATGGCAGTTAAAGGGAGGCATTCTCGAATGGGGCCTCGAAAATCGTCGAATTCCACACTGATCTTTGGTGGGATTATTGTGTTGTCTTTTTTCGCTCTCATTCTTCTTGCTTTCCGAATTATCTCCATTCCCAGGGGCTCTCAGAAAGCACACGATCTCACCTCTATAGCCCACAACACTGTTCAAAGGTACCATTCATTTGAGATTGTTTTTTTCTTTTCGCAATTGGTGTAGGGATCTGATTAACTTTGAGGGGGTTTCTTGCTTTTCTTGTTTTTGGGTGCAGACAAGACGATGACGACGATGGAAAAAGAGATCAGTGGGTTGAAGTGATTTCTTTGGAACCAAGAGCCTACGTTTACCATAACTTCTTGGTATCTATCTTTAACATTTTATCTCTTACAATTAGTGATTCCTTTTGGGTACATTGTGTTTATGGCTACTACTTATCTCAGAGCTAAATTTCCTTGTCAAGAAAATAAGAAATGCTTTGTAAGTGCCACTGTTGTTTTACCAAATATTAGTTTGTGATTTGTGAACAAAGCAAGCTGAATTTGATATCGGGATTCTGTTGCTTAGTGTATGGAAAAAAAAAAAAAAAGAATAACAAAGAAACCTGTAGGAGACTGGAGGAGAATTGATTTGATTTCAATAAAAAAAATAGGCTCGTATGGAAGTTTTCAATGTCGAAATTTCTTTTTCCAACTATGGAAATGATACTGGTGTTGCAAATCTAGAGCTTTGGTCTATTGATTGATACATTTACTGCTATCTATCGGATTCATTAACCTAAAGAGTAAAGACTCTAATTTAATTGTTATCTCGTTGGCAGTCCAAGGAGGAATGTGAGTATCTGATTAGTCTTGCCAAGCCTCACATGCAAAAGTCAAGTGTCGTAGATAGTTCTACTGGCAAGAGTATGGACAGCAGGTAAGCATATTATTTGCATACCCCGGACTTGCTAATCTAGGTTGTACAGCTGAGGATTATGGAGATTTAATTGTACTACCATCATTTATTCTCTAATTCATTTCTCCTGTTATTCCCTCCTTGCCAGGGTCCGAACCAGTTCCGGAACATTTCTGGCGAGAGGACGTGATAAGGTGATCAGGGATATTGAGAAAAAGATTGCAGATTTCACCTTCATACCAGCAGGTATGCAGTTCCTTCGTTTTTTTAAAGCAAAGGATGTAACTGAATGAATATGCATCTTATTACTGTAGGATCCATTTTCCCTCTAGCTGTTATGGAAAGAATAGTCATTTAATAAAGCTTGGGGCTGTCTGAAAATGGTTTTGCCTAGTTCACTAATTAACTCTTCCTTTTTTGATGAACTCTGTTTAATGGTGTTATCTAATGTACTCTCTCTGTCACTATTTCTTTGGTACTGTTTTGTTTGCCGTCCTTTGCCGTCCCAGTACCTTTATATTTAGAAACTAAATATTTTTACATTCCCATTTTCCATTGACTTGACTTGTTGTGCTCCATTTTATACGAGACACTGTTTGGTCTAACGTTAGTTTGGTATTTTGTTCATATTTAGAATGTCTGTCAAGGTCTTTTTTGTTTTCCTTTTTTAAACCACGTCTGTCAAATTATTCCAAAACAGATTGGACCTTGAGGGAGTAATACTATTTGTCCATAATTTAAGGAAATAGGACAGCTTTCTCTGGCATCACCAGTAATAGAAATATACTGAGTACATTTGTTAGGAATTTCACTATGCTAAATATAGATGTACACCAAGGGGAATGATTTTTTAGAGGTCCAACAGAAAGAGCTTTATCTTTCCAACCAATTAATGTAATTTCGTCGTATTAATGATTTCTGGAGTTATGCATTGTCCAAGATAAAATTGGATGCGTTATATTTGGTCAGTTGTTAGATGCAAATTTAATATGCATTGAATTGAGGATGGTGGTTGGGGATGAGTATGAATTTAGTTTAATGTCCAAAGTCAAGTAGTAAGTGGCCTATCCTCCTAGTGTAAGTCTATTAATTAGTTAGTGACTATTCCAGGCATTATTAGTGTCAACCACTAGTTTCATTTCTGCTCCTTCCACATCCAGAGATATAACTTATTCTATGAACCTAAGTGTTCATTAACTTTCTTTTGAAAAGAACCTTAAACTAGATACATCATCCAGTGACTCAAATTGCCTCTTTCAGTAGTGAGCTGTGTGACACTTTGTCATTATGTAATGCCTTAAACTGCATGTGAATTGATGTATCTGCTTCTGTTTACAGAGCATGGTGAAGGTCTTCAAATTCTCCACTACGAAGTGGGGCAAAAGTATGAGCCCCACTACGATTACTTTCTTGATGAGTTTAACACTAAAAATGGAGGTCAACGCATTGCAACGGTTTTAATGTACTTGTAAGTGACGTTTCCTTAGCAAGGTTTATTCTTAATGTATTCTCGTGGAATCCCTTAGACAATTCTCTTGGCATGCTGCAGGTCAGATGTTGATGAAGGGGGTGAAACAGTATTCCCAGCTGCGAAGGGAAATTATAGTGCAGTCCCTTGGTGGAATGAACTATCTGAATGTGGAAAAGGTGGACTCTCTGTAAAACCAAAGATGGGTGATGCATTGCTCTTCTGGAGCATGAAGCCTGATGCAACTCTAGATCCATCAAGTTTGCATGGTGAGTAATCTGCATACAAGCAGATATGGATAATGGGTGCTGAACGTTGAGAACTTGATTATTGCTTACTGACATCCATCTTCTAGCTCACAAAGTTTTAATTGCTATACTGTATTCTGGAGTAATGAGCAATGTTTATTTGATTGGCAACTAAGTAGTATTGTGTATATCTTATTTTAGGTGGGTGCCCTGTAATTAAAGGTAACAAATGGTCATCCACAAAATGGATGCGCGTCCATGAATACAAGGCTTAACCTACTGCTAGAGGTAAACATATTCGCCTGAGTGGTATTAAATACACAAAAAATATGTGCACCCTCTGCTGTCTTCTTATGTGTACATAACTTGTTTTATTTGCTAGTACTTTGCATTTATGTTGATGAATCTTGCTGTAGCTTTTCGGTGGTCTTTTTTTCTTTTAACCTTCCAATGCATTTTTCCATTAGGTTGGTGTTTTAGTATTGATCCTTGAGACCCATAAACTTAGTACTAAGTCCTTGAAATGAACAATGAGTGCATTTTTTTCCCGTATACCATCCTAGAAGTTTGCAGCCATGCATGAGAAAATGTTTATTTGTGGGAAGGGGTGTGTATACCTTGTGCACCTTTGAGTGCACGTGAAGCCTATGTTGAGATTGCAGCATGGTGTATCTTGTGACGGAAAGAAGAAAAGTTCCGGGGAGAAAGAACTATGTTGACTTATCCAGTGTTGTTGTCTGGAAACAGTTACCTAGCAGTTTGGATGACATGATTTGAGTTCAGGGAACGAATTTGATGATGCAGACAGCAGATTAAGAGTAGGATTTTAGGCTATGGTTATGTGACCAATATGTCATCATGCTTTTCTACACAACAGAAATCACAGGAATGCAGTGCGAAATATTTCTAGAGTCCTTATGAAACAGAAAGGAAATAACGACTTTTACAACCTTTAAATTTAGTGCTAGTAATGAGCTCTGTACTTTTGTTGATTATATTCTCATATGTTTGCTTGTTTATGTAAGTTACTGATTTGTCTCACTTGTACAAATTGATATGCCACTTAATAGATATGGTGTTGTGCAGGTCCAGTTTTGAGTTTGGATGCAGTCACTGTTGTGCCATTTGTATCAAAAGGATAGTCTTGAATAGAGCCACCACACATGAAGCTTCAATTTTACTTTGATAGTACTCATTCTCAACATTCTTATTCCTTTCTTTTCTGTAAAGTTGATGCTTACATAGTTGTATTTTTCATCTGTGGGTTTAATTGGAACAATAAAGATGTGAGAAGCTTCATTCGATTTCTGAGGAAGTTATAAGTAAAAGTAGCAAAATATTCAAAATTGATAAATTCACAAAGATGACAATGGTACGTAGTGCTTGACCAGAGGGAGTTGTTCGGATGGTAAACACATTTCACCTCAAACTCTAAAAACAGAGAAAGGGAGAATTTCTACACAATAATTGACTAATCAAATAAAATATGTGAGTTCCACTGATCATTATCAGAATCATGCCTACAAGGAACCTTTTTGAGATATTAACTTTTTGGTATTTGGTAGTACATTTTACTAGTTGGGAAGAATATTTCAACTTACCTAAAAATCGTATGATAAGATTTAAATTTTAAATACAAGTTTTAAAAAAATGTTATACTATATTTTAAATTTACAATGTAGAGCTACCACCAACGAGGCAGTGTGAAAGAAGCATGGAAGGTTTTTATAGTTATCGCTTTTTTGTCCTAGCGCTTGCCTCTGGTGGTGTTTTACTTTCTATCTAAACTAGCAGAATCGTGGGACATAATAGTAAGTTGATTGTTGGTTTTTATTCCTCACTCTCGTTCTATTATTAGGGAAGGATCCATTGGAAAGACTCTCGTTCTATTCCTAGGGAAGGATCCATTGAAAAGACTGGAGTAGTATCTTCATTAGCCAGAAGGAATTTATCTCCACTAGCGTCGTTCGAAGAACAAGAAAAGGGTTACTAAACATAGATGAACGTGGCCCACATGGCTAAAGCTCTGCCTGTAGCACATATACATTTGGAACAACATGTGCAATCCTCTTTTTCTCATTCTTTCAAGGCTTTACTTAGAGAAAGCCCAACACTACCCATAAATACACTACACACTTGACACTGCTACTTTTTTTTTTTTTTAATCCTCTCCTCGGAGCTTTCACCTTTTTGCGCCAATTCCTTGATAACTCAAACTTGCAATCTTAGGATAGAAAATGAGGAATGTTTACCATCTGAGCAACTCTCTCTTGTCAATTCAGTACCAACACCTTTTTTGAGGGCCCACTTGTAAATAGTTTCTCATACGTACAGTAATATTTGAGCATCCATCACTCAATCGTCATGTGCCCTATCACAGGTTTTGCAAGTTTTTTTGTTCAAAAACATTTGGTATATTGATCCGACTAATTTAAATTTGTGCATGGAAAAGGGAAAGTGTTCATTGCCACAGGACTATGCAATCCTCAAAGCTTGAATCAATATCACTTCTAATAGTAAATGATAGGTGCAGTCATCATATCCGATATGACCTCATAAGTGAGATGTGGAGAAGATAGAATGTATGCAGATTTTATCTCTATCTCGTAAAGTAAAGAGACCGTTTCCAATAGAACCTACCGGACATTACAAAAACTAGATCTCTGGTATTTCATTTATCAGTTCCCTGCACAGTTACTACTCCATATAACTCAAATTATATTTGTAAAAAAATAGAACCATGTAGGTAGTGACAACATTCTAGATTTGTGTAGGCTTTGCCTCTCTAGTCCAATTGTGGTCGGTCAATTCGATCTGCAAGTTGCAGCAACTACTTGAAAATGGCAAGACAATATATACAACAAATAATAAGTTGTCTGAATATATAAATATAAAGAGAAGAGAAGAGAAGAGAAGACACTGGAACACAAATCTATCGAAAGATATTGCTGATTAATAATTCAACTACTCCTTTGAAAAAATAGAGCTAGACAATTCTTTTACATTCATTTGAAATTAAACACACAATGTCCCTTCATTTTCCAATTTTGTACACACTTTTCTCTTTTATCAAATTGGACGTGCATGAAGTAAAATAATATAATATCCATATTTTTTTTTCACTCCCCATATTGATTTAAACTTTGATATAAACCAGAAATTTCGTCAAAGATATTTATGTATGTATATACAATATGATTTTCTGATGAAGCATATTATACTGATCACTTAGCTCCGCCACTGCTGTTAAAAGTTAGCGTTGCATTCTAATGATTATTATTATACACCACTAGCTAGGTGTAAGTTTTGAAATTCCCAATACTCTTAATTTCATCTTATATATCCACGAGCCTACACCATATTAAATGCATGGTGAAATTTAATGATCATACTATCTCATTAAACGAGCAAGAAAATCAGTTCAATAATCATGCTAGCCATACTATACTCCATGAGTACAAATTAATTTACTTCTCATAATGCCTCAATAATAATAATTCCTAGTTGTATATATATAGCTCACAAACATATGGACAAGACCATACAAATACACAGATTTAATAAATATTGAAGCTGGAAATAACTATTGGAGAGCCTTTAAGAAAATTAAGGAAACTCAATTTTAAGTCACACAATATTCTATTTCTAGCTTCCCTACCAAATATAGGCAGAGAAAGTAACAATATAATGGTGTCCGTCTCCGTCTCTAGAGTTCAAGATAAAAAATATTTATATAATCAGATCAACTATATAACATGTTAAATTATAGTAACAGTGTAAAAAGTTCACTTACACCTTCAGTGCATTTATATGATTGATTCATCCCATTTTAGCATTATTTTACACTTTATAAATCTAGAATTAGACCTATGCTTATAATTGGTTTTCTCATTGTCCCTTAATTTCCCCCTATATTTAATAAAAGATTCTATAAATTAAAAATCTAGTCCATCAATAATGCAGCATATATATATATGAAGAACCTAGAGCATACACTAGATCAAGAGCCACTACATCAAAAGTGACATTTAGTGGCAATTATCACTCTTTATAAATGTTCCTAAAGCCTACAATGATGTTGAATCTAACGACAATTAATTAATGTCGGTAAATGTTTTAGCACTCTTTATTATTAATGTGTATATTTATTGAGGCTAAAAGTTATTTTGTTATAATGCGTTACTTTCCCCCCTTTTTTGGGTTCAAGTATTTTACTATAATATTATAATTACATCAAGAAAAGGGTAAAAGGAGTCTTTATTCTTTGGCAATTTTTCATCACCACAACAAGACACTAGAAAATTGTCTTCAATAATCACAGAGGAAGAAATATTTTTTTTTGTTTGGGTAAAATAGTTGAAATGTACTTCAATTGGGCGTATTAATTTATACATTACATTTTAAGATCAAGAAATTAAAAAATAAAAAAGAATAAGAAAAAGCAGATATTTTGGTGTGTTTTATGCTTATAATATTATGTGACATTATATATATTATTGTTATCAATACCCATTTTATGCCGATGATGAGATTTGAAAAGATGACATTGAATGCAATACATAAAAAATAGATAAAGGAATTAAAAGCTTGAGGGGACAAGGATCATGTCCCTCATCCCTAAATAAATCTAGAATTTTCAGAAAGTTTCTGCGCATGTAGTTATTAATGTTTCTATAAGATTTATTTATTTCTAGATTTTGTATACGATTCTTTAAATTAAGTCATGGTCACTTCACTATTAATTTAATACTATCCTCAAGCAGTCTCTAAGGACAATATTAGAAGAACGTACTACTATTATTATTATTATTATTATTAATTCAAGTTGAGTAATTAATGACATTTTACGTGAAAAGTCTAGAAAAAGTAAGAAAATCAATTTGTTTGTTTATTGGCTTGCTAAGTTGAGCTTCCTTCAAATTACATCACAAATCTTTAGTGAAGTTGAATTATATGTCATAATAGATTCTCCCTGAAATATACGTAATTAGGGTTGCCTATCATTTGTAGTTTCTATAATCGTTTCCTAGTTGTAAATTCATTCAAAAGCGGAGTCAGATTTTTTAATTTGTAAATTCTATAGCAAAATTTTTCTTGCTTACTATATTGGATGAATTTTTAATAAAAATAAATAATTTGAGTCAAAGCTACTGAATTTTCTATCAAATAAGTAGTTATAGCGACAGCTTCACCCTGAACTAACCCACCTGGATGCTCTTGTCAATAGGAATGGCTCGTGCAATAAAAAAAAAGAAATGAGGACCAAAAGAGAAACAAAAGAGAAGTTTTTTCTTTTTTTAATCCTAAAAAACATAAGGGAATATATAAGTACTTCAGTTGGTTGGTTGGTTGATTATCTGAATTTTTATCTTATAATTGGCGAGAATTTAATTCACCACCTTATAATTTTCTCCCTTCATGTAATAAAAACATTTTTTAAAAAAGAGTTGGTGTAATCAATGTGCCTTTTTCTTAGTGATATGATAAAGATTATCAAGTTGCATTCAAGTGATTTAGAATTGAATGCGTCAAGAAATATAATGAAAGTAGCTATCTATGATTCTATGTTTGCTTGCTTGGTATAGTGATAAAACCACAAGAAAAAAAAAAACGTTTCACATCAATTCTATCGAGGCAACAAATTTTCACCCTTTGAACTAGTTGTTCGAATTAATAGATCAATAATCTTAACATAATATTAAAGAAGGATTCATATCAACATTTCTGATACGGTAATATGACTTGTAATAGATAATCTTTATGTTATAAACTAACTTTTTGAAGTTAAATTAAACATCAATATTCATCATTTTCCCTAACATACCATATAATTAATTAAGCTCCGTCTTTAATAATTTATGATTTGAATGAATTCCGTGCTTGCTGGCTATTGAAATTCACTTGATTTGCCTTCAAAACATCATCAAGGGCCTTTGGGGTGCACCATGATTTGTGGGGATCTATTAGAATATTACTGCTAATTTCATTTCACACGACACTATTTTGTTGTTAATATGCATATTTCAAAAAAAAAAAAAAGATTTACGAGAAAGTTATTCGGAGGGTAACCATCTCTTATTTTTAATTTTAAAATTATGAGTTCAAGTTACTAAAAGAACCGACAAGAGTGGAAACTCTAGAAAAAAAAAAGGCTTTCAAATATTTAAAAATTATTAATTTTTTTATTTTAATTTTATTCTTAACAGATGAGTTATTATCACAAATAGCTATGA